GTGTGTGTGTGTGTGTGTGTGTGTGTGCGTGTGTGTGTGTGTGTGTGTGGCTTTTAATGCAATGCATGAAACTGCATTGATTCTATTGCTTTTTTATCGTATAGATCATATAGATTTGTAGACAATTACTGTATAATTTATTTGACATGTTTATTTTCATTTTCATGATGGTGAGGATGAATGTCTTTGCAATGGTAATATTACTTTCAAGAGTTAAAACTGACTGAAATGCTGGAATAAATTTTTTACTCTCTAAATAATGCTGTTTGTTGCCTTTTTTAATCCATTAACTTCGTTACATGTTAACATCAAAAGATAGCATGCATTAAAAGTGCAGTGGGCATGGTTATAGGTATGTTACTGTTAGCTTTACTGTTATCCAGAAATGATTAAAGCCACAGTATTGCTCTGGACAACATGCTACTTTTGTTACCATGACTACTGCATACTTTGCCTCAATAAACAAACTCTATAATTTAGCTGTAAATTCTTCATTTTGTAACAAAATACATCACAGAAAATTCAATTAATTATATATATTGTCTCCAATTATTTCTATACTTTATCCTCTAAGGACGAGAGAGATGGACTATCAAAGGTTCACGTTGGTCCTTTTAGCTGTTTCACGTTGTTGATGTTAAATTGAGTTCTACAATAGGAAATGTAAGAAATATTTCTCTCATTCATCGTTTCTAGAATAACTGTGAAAAGTGAATTTCAGCACATGCAGCAAAGGTTTGTATGGGTGTGTCACTGAATGAGCAAACATGTGAGAAATCCTCGTGCCTGTCATCCTGCAATAACTGCAGGTGAATAAAAATCTGTGTTAATGATTGATTTGAACAAAGATAAAACCAACAGAGTGATGAGACTGATCTCAGATTAGATACAGCAGACAAAGGTTGTTTGAAGAATCTGTTTTGTTTTTCATTTTGTGACTTTGAGTCTCACATCAAAGGTTCTTTTACATTATTTATTTTACAGTATTATGTAATGAAATCATAGCCTGATTTCAATCAGGTTATAATTTATGTATGCTCAAAATATTTTAATTATTCAGTTGTTTGACATTTCGAATGCATTTGTCCCAAATTAAAGATTCTGATGGCAAAAAAGACCAATAAAAATATCAGTTTTAAGTATTTGATATATAAAACTAAAATTTCATGGCAGTTATAAATGTTGAAATTTTGCACCATAAAACTTTTATGCAAACTATTGACAGTCAAGCAGTAAATGTTGTACGAACTGGCTGATTTGAGATGGAATAACCCATGAGAAAAATGTTCAACAAATCAAACAAAAAACAATTAAAATACCTTCCCACATTGAGACAAATCAGCACAGCTAATATCAGATGACATTAAAGTCGTGTAGTATAAGAGTGTTAAGCTGAGTTGACAGGGGAGCACCTGGGAGTCTCTGCGACACAGACGCACTGAGGTATTGTAAAAAGGTATGAATCTTGTTTTTACTCAACATAATGGAAAGTGTTGTCAATCATAAAAAATGATAATGATAATAATGATGACTCATAAAAGATAATACAGACCGACTCGCTGACCTTCACCTCGCCGGTCTTTTCACAGTTTAACCAGAAAACCCTGGAATGGCTTCTTGCCACATCAAATAAAATCTCTAATTGTCCTGTTGTAATCTGGCACTAGATAAGACTTTTTAAAGTTATTGATCATACATAAGAGTCATAACTACAAGCAACAACAAAATGTGCGTCAGCATAATAGAACTTACTTTGATAAAGGATGACATAAGCATCTACTAAACAATGTATGGACAATGAGACAGATGTAGGAAAAACCTACAGAAATCCTGTGAACTGTTGTGTTGTGATACACATGCCTCTCAGCTATAGTCTAACCTCTGAGCAGATGCTAGCATGCTAATAGGCTAACATGGCAGTCTTAAAGTTTGGCTCACATTAGCAAGTTCTGGCTAACTTACACACAGCATTCATATCTAAATTAAACTTAGCACTTCACTAGTGCAGTGTGTTTTTCATAATCTCATTCTGAAACCTGCGTCCTTATTTAGGACGTGCCTTCGCTCAGCTGGCAGAGCTTCTTCCAACCTATGAAGCGCCTTGAGGCGATTTTTGTTGTGATTTGGTGCTATATAAATAAAATTGAATTGAATTGAATGACCTCTACACAGCTTTTCCCCCCCATGCTAACGTACCGCTTTCTGGGTGCATGAAGACATATCAGTGTAGGTATGTGGATCTTATCATTTTCACAAGCAGAGATAAGATTGAATGTTATATAGCTTAACAGTTTCTTTCCACCCACTCTCTGCAGGTTTCTTCCTGTCTTGAGCCTGATGCTGTGGCGATAGGCCTGGTCACAGATCCTGAGGGTCTTAGTGATGACCACAAAAGAGTCCCAGTGGCCTCCTCTGTGACATTCCTCATGGGGACTTTTTTAATAGATTGTGAGCTATGTAAGTAATTTTGCAGGTTTATGGAGGTGTCTTCATAGCAAGTTATTTAACTTTAGGTCTATCGGTTTGCATAGAGGTCTGCCCGCCCCTCATTGAGCCTGGTTCTGCTGGAGGTTTCTTCCTGTTTAAAGGGAGTTTTTCCTTCCCGCTGTCGCCAAGGCACTTGTTCATGGGGTGGGGGTCATAAGATTATTGGGCTTTCTCTGTTTCCTTTGTATTATTGTACGGCAATTGTGATTTGCAAGCAAGCAGGCAATTTATTTATATAGCACTTTTAGAACAACTCTCAGCTGAACACAAAGTGCTGGACACTGGACACGCCAGAAATGATACATTAAATAAGTTAAAATAAATAAATAAATAAAATAAAGATAAAAATAAATAAGATGCTAATTAAAATGACATTTAAAACAATAAAATGAGGGTCATACTGTGTCAGCTGAGATGGTCTGTACTGGGGAAAGAGTGTTGAACGTGGAGCTGCCAGGAAGGAGGAAACAGTGCTTAACAAGTTTATTAGAGTACCACCTAATGCAGTGTCTTTACTTCTGCTCCTCTAGTGTTGGACAGACTGGTGGTGGCTACGCTGACTTGCTACGCCATCTTGTGGTACAACATTGTGGCCCAGCCCTCATTTAACTAACTTCATCTCGTCATCACACTCTTCTACAGTTTATTTTAAAGATTTCGTTAAGAGTCGGATTAATAATGCAAACTGTAATTTATTAAATAACATTCAAAAGTTACCCAACAGCACACGGTATTCTTGGAAAAGTGGTTGCAGGAGGTGAGCTGGCTTCAAACAAATGACGAACGCACAGAGATGTGGTGCAGAATGTGCCGTTTGCCATTTGTTTGAAGCCAGCTCACCTCCTGCAACCACGTTTCTGAGAATACGCGCTTCTTTTGTGGTTCGGACTCCTCCTGACATTTCTTTGGAGGTGGAGGAACACCAAAGTAAAGGAGCTTCTTTGACATCTTTAAGAGTTCTGAACAAATGTCTGTCCTCCTCCAGAAAATCTTATGTACGCAAACACGCGTTGCAACTTCTTATCTGGTGCGTCTTTTATTTTGACAGCGAATGCGCACCTGCGGACCACTTATGTGCAGCCCTGGCTCTCACACATAAAGCAGTATAAAGCAGCTGTTGTCTTTCTACACGTCTCCATCTACACATCTCCGTGATTCGGAAAACTCTCATCTTATATCCTGATGGGCAGGGCAGCATTTTCATTCCACTTTTCAGGCTAAGGCCAAAGGTGTTTCTATTCTAATTGACCAAAATGTTCCCTTTGAGAAACATAATGTAATTTCTGATACGAGTGGCCGGTATGTTTTTGTTTCGGGTAAACTTTATAATTTAAAAGTAGTGTTGGCCAACATATATGCCCCAATATTGATAATGTAGATTTCTTTCAGCGTGCTTTCTCATTGCTGCCTGATCTGAGCTCATACTCTCTCATACTTGGTGGTGACCTCAACTGCTGGCTGGACCCTGTGTTCGACCGATCCTCCCTGAATCCCTGCACTGTCAGTAAATCTGCTCGTTTCATTCGATCCTTTTTATCTAACTGTGGTGTCTCTGATGTTTGGCGCTGTTTACGCCCCCACAGAAGAGAGCACTCTTTTTTTCCACAGGTACACCACACTTATTCTAGGATTGATTATTTTCTCGTTGATAATCAGCTGACTCCATGGGTCCAATCCTGTGAATATCAGACCATAGTAATATCAGACCAAAGCCCTGTTGTGCTATCAATGAGTTTCCCAGACGTCCCTCAATCCAGACGACTCTCCTGGCAGATGTAAACTTCCTGAAATTCATGAAAGAACAAATAACCTTGTTTCTTAAAACAAATACCACAGGAGAAACTTCTAGCTTAATAATTTGGGTTTATACTGAAATTCTATACACTGTATTTATATGTTCTATTTCTATTGTATATATTAATCGGCATCTGTGGGTGGACAGCAAAGAAAGATTTCATTGCACAGAGAAATGCCTTTTCCCTTGTGACACATGACAATAAACACTTCTTGAATCTTGAAAGCCTTTCTCAGGGGGCAAGTTATTTCCTACACTGCTAATATGAAGAAAAAGGCCCGTATAGAACGACTCGATTTAGTCAACCGAATCAAAGAAGTAGACCTGCTCTATGCTAAGGTAAAAAGCCCAGATTTATACAATAAGCGTGTGGAGCTTCAGATCTCCTCTCAACGCACTCAACTGAACGTCAGCTCCTGAAGAGTAAGAGTTTGTTTTATATCCATAGCGACAAATCGGGTAGGATGCTTGCCAGCCAGTTAAGGGGCTTCCAGGCAAAACAACACATCACAAAGGTTAGAATGGCTAATGGTAATATCACTTCGGATCCTTCCAACATTAATGATACGTTTAGGACTTTTTTACTCTCAACTTTACACCTCTGAATCACCGCAGGAAAGCACCTTAATGGATAACTTTGAATGTACCTATGCTTTCCTCTGATAGTAAAAACAGATTAGACAAACCCAT